GCAGGCTCCACCAACCGAGCCAGCCGGGCACCCCGAGACCTCATTGTAACCCAGCATCTGCATCATGAATGGCCCCTTGCAGCCTCCCACGACGAGGGCCTTCATGCTGCTGATCCAAGTGGGCACCGGAGTTGCTGAGAACTTTGCCTCCAATTCTGAGACTTGTATTTTCCAAGTTCCAGGAATACTGTGTCTGGTCGGGAGACACAGACATCCCTGGACCCCTGTCCCCAGCCCCTGGGAGCTGTGCCCGTCATAGTACTTGGTCCTTCACCCAGGAGGACACTGAGGTTCAGGATGTTAAGTCACTACCCTAGGCCCACCCACCAGCCAGCCAGCGCTTAAAACCAAGTCCCACTCAGCAGGTGCTCGAGTACCAGCCCCACCTGCCTCTCCCGGGAGCCCATACTTCCTGTGTGCTCAGGCCAAGCGGATATTTCCTTAAACCAATCCTTCATAACCTGTTTTCTTCTCAAGGATTCGAGTTCCGTGTGTTCATGAGTCCAGAAAGCTGGGTTTATGGAACCCGATCAGGACCACAAAAAGTCCTGGATTTGGGGGGGAGGGGGAGCTCAGCAAATTTCCTGGGCGGGTTTCTGTGACATTCATAGGCTGTCCACGTTAAGGAAAGGCCAAGTCTTCCAAATATCTTTTGAGGCCACCCGCAAACTGGCAAAGGGAAGGGAAGGAGTGGGATGAAAATCCACCCTTCTGATGGCTCGCCGAGTCCTGACAGTCACTGACTCACAGGGCACACACAAACCTCTCCGAAGGTTCCCATGGAGGTGCAAAGTGAGCCACGGATCCTCCACGGCTACACCAAATGCCCAGCTTCCCTCCTGGCAGGTGGGTGCTAAGGAATGACATGTCCTTGTAAAGAAGGACCAAAACCGCTCAGGCAGACTGTAACCTGAGGTCGGGATGTTCCTGACCTTCTGGATGCTCCTGCCTGACTCAGCCATATTCATAAAAGTGAATCCAGAGGAAGATCAGCAGGAAAAACCCCTCTGGCCCCTCAAAGCTGCACTGAAGTCTCAGTGGCCTGGCCACTCCCACAGAGCAGTGGGTCCCTGGGGTGGTGGGGTCGGGGGGAAGTGACGGGGTCCGGGCATCAGGAAGAATTTGGGGCAAAGTCCTCTGGTGTGCAGCTCTCCCCGGGTGGGATCGACACAGCCTAGCAGAGAGTGTGCTAAGGTACTTGCGGCTGCCAAGCGGGCAAGGATGAAAGCGCAGAGACGGGCAGCCCCGCGGCATGTCGCTGCACTGAGTCACTCCAAAAAGACAAAGAACAATGTGATTGTAGGTGGTTCGCATAGCTCCAGGAAACCAACCCTTCCAGTTTATAACGATACGAATCTGAATTATTAAAGGCTAAGATGAAAAACAGCTACCCTGAAGTTCGGAAATTCAAACGGGTTGTTTGCTCAGATCACATCATACAAAAGAGGGTCTGTCCCGTGTGGGGCCAGCAGGTTGTGGCGCAGGAACTGGGATCTACAGGCAGCCCCGTGCCTCTGTGGCAACTGTCCTCGAACCTCAGGAAACTGGTCTGAACGGCACAGGCTGGTGCCCCATCCGAGGACCCACCGTAGGCTGCGCTGTGCGTGCGGAACACGAGCAACCACGCTGGGAAGTGTGGCTGTCCGCTATTAGATGTATCAACTCGGGCGTGTCCAGGAAGGAGACCAGTAAATCCCTTAAATGTTCTTTCTTATTGTTCTTTTAATCTGATGCTGGATTCAATTTGCCATTGTTTTTGTTTGTTTTGTTTTGTTTTTTAGAGAAAGAGAAAGCATGAGCAGGGGAGGAGGAGCAGAGAGAGAGAGAGAGAGAGAGAGAGAGAGAATCCCAAACAGACTCCACACTCAGCATGGAGCCCGACATGGGGCTCAATCTCACAACCCTGAAATCATGAACTGAGCTGAAATCAAGAGTCCAATGTTCAAGCAACTGAGCCACCCAGGCGCCCCAGCAAGATTACATTCTTAATAAAGATCATAACCTTCAATCACAACAATATTCTTCTGAGAAAATGCTAAATTCCCAAAGTCCTTTTTTATGATTTCTAGATACTTGCTTCTAGGCAATCAGGATCAGTATGCCCCGGGAATCATGTTGGAAGGCAGCCTCACCGCCCTCTTCACTGGGACACCACCAGCTCCAGGAGGAGGGGCAGGAAGGTCCTCTCTCCACACAGAGCCCGTGGCCTGGTGTGAAGACCACAGAGCTGCAAGCTTCCTGCCCTCCTTCAATGGAGAAAAGGGGTTCCACATTTTGCGGCAATGCGTGGTTCCCTGGAATCCTTGGTTTCGTTGATAGGATTCATTCACCTTTATAGGGTTTTCTCAATTTAGGTATTCTGGTATCAAAATCAGTAAACTGGCATGTGGTTGTTTTGTCTGTTTAAATTAGAGATATTGCTGCCCAGTTTTGATATTAATACATTACTTAGATTCGTAGAAGCACATCTGGAGGCTTTCTCTCTCTCTGTGCTCTGCAACAGTCCAAGAACATTTTGAACGTATGCGTCTCTTGTAGTTTGGTACTATGTCACCTGTGGGACCATCGGAACCAAGGTGCCTTTGGAAGGGTGGTCTTCACACGCTGCTTGAGGCTTCTGTCTGACTCGAGTTAGCTGGTGCATAAGGAGTATTGAGAGCTGTTCTTGCGTTCCAAATATTTTATAGTTCACTGAATTTCCTTAATTTTTGCTTTCCCATTTTTATTCTGTGCATTTATTGCACTTTCTTCCATCATATTTAGCTACATATTAGCTAATAATTAATTGTTGTTAAAAGATTGATCTCAGGCTATTTCCTGCTAATTTAATTAAATTGCATTTTCATCTTTACAAATGCTTAGTTTGTGCATGCATGTGTACGCATGTGTGTATGTGTGCATATGTGTGCATTGCGTGTGAGTGTGCATGTGCGTGTATGCGTGTGTGCATGTGTGTGCGTGCGTGTGTGTGCATGTGCATGCATGTGTGTGCGTATGCACATTTCCCCTGATGATTTCAGCTGAAGACTTATTTACTTTCATTTGCTGTGCTCCATAACAGAGACCCTACTTTCCTCTGAGCACCAAGTTAGCGGTATACATGGTCCTTTGTTTTAACCCTAGAATCTAGAAATAATAGCACTAACCTTATGGTATGAATGAATACAAATGCATAGAATCATCTTTCTTCTGAAATTTTGTATTGAACTTTTCCATCATTTTATGTTACAAACAGTAAGGGGCACCGGTCCTTTTGTTTTCATAGATTTTCTTCTAAGTTCTCTACACAACTGGACATCGTATTTCCTATTCTGTAACAATTATGTTTTCCTATCATTTGCCCAATTTTCTAATCATGTGCACACTTAAATAGCTGTCTTACAATTTAAATAATTATTAGTAAATAACCTTTAAATAATTTTAATTACTTGGAAGTGACTTGATTTTCGGGGGATAGATAGGGAAGGTATCGGGATGTCAGTAAGACTCTCTAGTTCTTTACTCTAGTTACTTTATCAAGATTTGTCCTTTTTTTAATAGATTTGAATCCATTTCTTCCCTGGGATACAATTACTCTTTAAACGTATAGATCTATATCTTTAATTCAGGAAAGTTTTCGTAAATTATATCTTCTAATATTTTTTTTCTGTGCTTTCTTCTCTGGGGTGGGTGGAGGGAGATACTAATGACACACGTCTTTTCTCTGCCTTATGCATATTCTTCTTTGTCTGACTTCTATGTGTATGATTTTCCCTAAAATCAATTTTAGGTTTTTTTTTTTATTTCATTTTGTTCTCAAACTTGCCATCTGGATCCCTCACTCTCTTTTCTGTGAATCTGATACTTTTTTCTTTTGCTCAGCCCGTGTTTCTGGCATCTGTTTCTTTTCTTTCCTCAACTCTGTCCATTCTCCTTTGTGCTTTTATTCCACTTTTTAGCTCTGTCATCTTGGCTCTGCTCTCTTATTTCAGAGAGGGAACTTTTCTGTGCATTTAGTCTTGCGTGCAGAGAACACCTTGCCTACAGTCTCACCTGTGTGTGGCAATCCTTTGCAGGCCTGCTCTTCATCTCCTTCCCTTATGGTCATCTTTAACGACTGCTTTCTTGGGCAGCATGTTGCATCGCCCTGTGGTGATTCGTGTTTGTTATGAGCGTCCACTTCTGCACAAAGGGTCCATCTCACTGTGGCCAGGGAGCATGCCCATGCCACTGGGCTGTGTGATGGTGGCTGGTCTGGGCTCCACGGTGTCTCTCTGGATCTCAGGGAGCCCCCCAAGAACACACGTCACGGTGGAGCCCAATGCTCATCTGGCTTTTCACTGTGTATCTGCCGCAGTGTGTGCATCTCAGGGCTTCAGACCTGTGGGCCACCAACAGCCCCTCTGCTGGCGACACATCAACAGACGGTTTCTGCAACAGATGGCTTTCCTCCAGCCCCGTGTCCCCAACACTCATGTTCCAGGGGATTCCTTTAACTCTGTTGTGGTGTATTATCTTTTCATCCAAACCAGGGGCCTTCCTTTGGTTGCCATCCCACCCCCCTCACGTACTGTTGAGATTGGAGAACTCTGTGTGCTCTGGGAAGTGGCAGGATCCTCTCCCCCTTTGGTCTAATTTTCTCTGTAGTGGCCGCCATTTTGGGGATTCTTGGTCCTGTTCTGGAGCACAGATATTTCCTGGTGTCTGGGAGGATGGAATTTCCATTTCTGGTTCTCCCTATCTCTGTTGCTCCCAGCTCTAATCAGAGGTCAGGGAGCACAGAGATATTTCTGCCACCATCATAAGCTGGAAGTCACAGGACACATTTTCCATGATTAAGCAGTTCTTCAGTTCTGACCAGCGCACCTTCCCACCAGCTACCTACCCAGAGGGCCCAGAGGGGATATTTATGCAAACGGACCTCATGATCTGGAGTGGCAACCAGTTCCTATCTCCCTTAGAACTTAAAAAACATCCTTGCTCTAAAGTAGAGCGATAAAAATAAGTTCTCATTTGCTTACCTCAGTGGCTTGTTAGGCAGAAACGCCCACCGAGGGACGGCCTTCTGCCCTGGCCTCTCCCGTATCACCAAATCGCTGCTCCGGACGAGGACGTCGTAGGCTGTCCGACAAACCATGAATTTTCCACAGAAGTTCATCTAGCAGATCAGAAACTTCATCCAGGTGGTAATTCTGGAGCAAAGAAAACCAGATTAGTGAATGCCCTCAAGAAATGAAATTTTTTCTTTTCCTCTCATTTTCTGAAGCATTTCGTGGTACTGACTTTAGATGGTATTGTGCTTTGTGAGAAAACTCACTGGAGTCAGAGACCTCGGTGCTGGGCCTGAGTTCTTGACCTCAGTTCCCTGACTCCCTGGTTCACACACACATGTGCACACTTGTCCCTGAAGCCCTGGGTCACGTACATGTGTGCACACTCGTCCCTGATGCTCTAGGACACATACATGTGTGCACACTTGTCCCTGACTCCCCGGCTCACACACGTGTGCACACTCGTCCCTGACTCCCTGGCTCACACACATGTGCACACTCATCCCTGACTCCCCGGCTCACACACATGTGCACACTCATCCCTGATGCCCCAGGTCATGTATGTTTGTGCACACTCATCCCTGATGTCCCGGGTCACATGCAGGTAAGTGTTAGGGTTCAGAATGCCTATATGAGGACTATCACATGGGTTTAAAGGCAGTAAGGGATGGTAAAATACATAATAAAGAGTGAAGCCCTAAAAAATGCCCAAGATCACAATTGCACATGATTGGCTTTGGAACTATACTCAGAGATACGTAAGTATCAGTCGTGAAGGATAGCTGGGCATTCAGTGTGCAAATGCCTGCTTTGTTTGCTTTCAGTCATGTCAGGGGGACTAGGCTGACCTATATCCCCCTGTTTGGGGAGAAGTTTGGCACTGGTGGCAGAAACCAAAAGCAAATGGCTGTTCTGTAGGGACATAGTGGGGTATGTGTGTGTGTTACGGGGAAGGGGGGAGGAATCATAAACTCAGTCTTTCTAACCTCACAGGGTCATCCAAGGATATCATGAGTTAAGGGAAGAGAACCTGCTTGGTAATCTGCTAAGTGCTAGAAATGCCATGGCTCTGCAATGACAGGGGGCACAGAATCCCATCGTGCTTAAATAACCGGAAGTGAGGTTCTACAAGGAAGAAGAACTGTCCGGGCGAGACATCGTGCTCACTAATCCAACACCCACAGCTTACCTGCCTCTCAGCCATCTCTGCCTCTTCCCGCTGTGGCCTCTCCAGCCCCAGCCAGGCCCGGGCCGCCCCTTGTACGCAGGCAGTCACATCGGCCAGGCTCATGAGGGACTGTCTTTGAAAAGATTTCCTTTTTCGAGCAAGAGTCACAAGGGAATCTCTCAGCTGGGGAGAGGAAAGAAAAGACAAATTTCATGTTATCAACCAAAACATGGCTTCGTTAATGTGATAGACTATAAAATGGGGATTCTATCTGATGATGCTATTTTATGACCTTTTAGTAAGACAGCAACTGCTTAGCAAAAAAAAAAAAAAAAAAATCGGGTGCATGGAACTAAATTACAACAAGGTGAATTCAACAATCAAAATGGGTATATAAATGGATATACACATAAAGGCTCTTTTCAGTCTCTGAAAGTTGAGGATGAAGATTGTCAACACGGTGCGCATTTCCACATGCAAACTTGGTTTCGGGGTGCTCTGCAGCCCCGCCAGGCTCTGGGGGGGCCCCACTGTGTGAGCCTGAGCCTGTGCCCAGGAGACAGGAAGACGAGCTCACATGCTCTCTGCAGAATGGCCCCAGCTTGTTTCCTTCTTTACTACAGGCTGAGACCTGCTTGCTCAGAAAGCCTGTAGGCACCAAACTCAAAGTTGTATGCATTCAACTGTTGTAAAAATAGTCCAAACAAGCAAAGTTTGAGCCATTTCAGAGCCTGCTTTGCATACCCTGCGGATATCACAGACAGCTGTTATCAGTTCCTGGACTCCAGCATGCCGCTGCCCTTGGGATCTCTGACTCAGACTTCCCACTTGCTGTTGGGTGACATCTACACACAGAAGACCCCTCTCCCACCCCTCCCCATGTCCCCCTGCCCTTCCCTGGTTCTTGATGGTGGCCCTGAGACACAGCCTCTGGACAGTCCTGGACTGTGGCCCCTGTCAGGACGTGGCCACATACAGCTTGTGTGCATTATTGTCTCTCGTGGTCTTATCTTTTTCCTGGATCAGCCCTAAATCCCTTGAACGCCTGGCCACATGTCAGAACCCTGCAGGGAGGCCTAGGTGCCTGAGGACAGGGCACTGTCCATTCAGACAGTATATGTGGGTCTGCGGCTTCCCTGCTTTACCAGCCACAGGAGCCTCAGGAGCCCGCGGTAACGCGCCCCGACTCCTGCTCTCAGGGACCCCCGGGTACCACTGCCTTCCTGTTCCTCATGATAAAGCCCAAGCACCTCATCATCTTAGTGTGACATTCAGGGCCTGCCATGCTTGGCTCCAAGCATCGTTCCCAAATCCAGCATGGGCCTCGCCACCATCTTCACTCTTGTGATGCCTGCCTCCCCCCCAGGTGCTCTTCCCTTTGAGGAGATGCCTCAGATAATTAAATAAATACTTCTAAAGTAAAATAAAATAAAATAAAAATGCATATAATTTGCTAAAAACTACTGAACACCGAAGACAGACGTGAAAGCTCTAAATGAGTGGAGACACAGACAGGATTCTTGGGTTGATAAACTTGCTCTGATGAAGATGTCAGTTCTCTCCAAATTTGATTTACGCATCCACAGCAATCTTGAGCAAAATCCCAGCATGCTGTTTCATAGATGCCGACAAGCTGATTCTATAATTCATATGGAAAGGCAAAAGAACTAGAGCAGCCCAAACTGCAAAAGAATGAATCTGGAAGGCTCACCTGCGCTATGTGAAGAATTACTATAGAGTTCTAGTAATCATGACAGTGTGGGATTGGCGACAGAATAGATCAGTGGAATAGAACAGATAACCCAGAAACAGACTCACGGAAACCACGAACAGATTTGTGACAAAGATACACTGGCAATAAAACATGCTTTAAAAAAAAAGACTTATTTGAGAGAGAGAGAGAGAGATTGAGCATGAGCCAAAGGGGAAGAGAGAAGTAGAGAGAGAATCTCAAGCAGACTCTGTGCTGAGCTCTGAGCCCGACACGAGGCTCAGTCTCAGGGTCCTGAGATCACAACCTGAGCCGAACTCAAGAACTGGATGCTCAACCAACTGCACCACCCAGGTGCCCCTCAACATGCTTTTTAAAGATGGCGCTGGAACAACTGGATATCCCAAACAGGAAAGAACATTCACTCTGAGCTAAAAGTTGTCCCTTACACTAACATTAAATCAAAATGGAAAAATCAATCAATCAATCAATCAAAATGGACTACTGACCTAAATCTAAAACATAAAACCATAAAAGTTCTAGAAGAAACATAGGAGAAAATGTGTGTGACCGTGGGGTTGCCATTCATTTTCAGATAGGACACCAGTAGAATCTATAAAAGAAGAAACTGATAAATTGGCCTTTATAAATATTAACAACCTCTGCTAAAAAAAACTGTTAGAGGAATGACAAGGACAAGCCACGCAATGGGAAAAATATTTGCAAACCACATATCCAATAAAAGAAATGTATCAAAAATCCAAAAATTGCTATAACTCTTTGTTTATACATGTCTTTTTCTATGGACTGTGGACCATGTCCTCTTATGTTTGTTTCACCATTGCCTGAATAGAATAGGTATTCTTTAAGTAATTGCTGAATGAGTGCATGAATGAACAAATGAGTGGAAGGATGGATGGATGGATGGATGGATGGATGGATGGATGGATGGATAGGTGGATGGATGGGTCAGTGGATGGATGGATGGATGGATGTTTGGATGGATGGATGGATGGATGGATGGATGGATGGATGGATGGATGGGTGGGTGGATGGATGGATGGATGGTTGGATGGATGGATGGATGGATGGATGGTTGGATGGATGGATGTTTGGATGGATGTTTGGATGGATGGATGGATGGATGGATGGGTCAGTGGATGG